AACTGTCGACGAAAGAGTTTTGTTCTTTGGAACCGGTTATCAATAGCACATTTTCACCTACTGATACATCTTGAACTGAATTAGCAGAATTTTTTAATGCTCTTTTCCATCTCTTTCTCAACCAATATTTTTTAGTGTCTACTATGACAGGGCATCTGATGCAGCGGATGAAAAAGCTTTCATTGATCATGCAAAAATTCATGCAGATATGAAGTTCCTTTATGTTGTCCCGTTTCACGTCTATGACAATCAGAAAAACTCCTGAAACCATTAGGGCTGCAGTTGCTACGTTAATACTCCACAGCTCATGCTGAAATAATAAGTGTAGATATATTTGTTCTCATTTAAAGTTTACAATCGGTGTGCTTTAGCTGTGTCAAATTATGTAAGTACCCATTACTAATTGTTTCTTACGTAGATGAGAGGGAGGAAACCACCGGGGGAACTTCCATCAAAGCTTACGGTTGCATACTTTTCTACGGAGGCAACAGGTTTGAAAAGGTAATCTGACTTTTTCTTTCTATCATGTGGAAGACGTTCACCGAAGATTCAATGTTACTAGGGAGTTATTGCAACTTTTTTGAAAACATAAGCAATTCTGAATTTGAGTTTTATGATTAGCTTTTGCTTTGTTATGTCTGATTATAGATAAGAAACGGTGATTTTTGAGTATGATTTTGTAAATCTGCGGAGTCTCTTGTGCCAATTAGGTGGATGTTGTAGTAGATACAACCTTTGAGGCTTCAGCGTGCAAAAACTCATGCAAATATGAGGTTCCTTTATGGTGTCCAGTGTCACATCTATGACAATCTGAAAAACTCCTGGAACCAATAGTGCTGCAGTTTCTACACCAATATTCCGCAGCTCATGCTAAAATAATAAATTTATATATATTTGTTCTCATTTAAAAATTATAGTCGGTGTGCTTTAGTTGTGTCAAATTATGTAAGTACCCATAACTAATGGTTTCTTACATAGATGAGAGGGAGGAAACTGCCGAGGGAAAACAAAGCCTATGGCTGCATACTTTTCTATGGAGTTTTGAAAAGGTAATCTGACTTTTTGTTTCTATCATGTGGAAGACTCACCGAAGATTCAATGTTACTAGGCAGTGCTGAATTTGAGTTTTATGAAGTAAGAGCTTTTGCTTTGATATGTCTGACTATAGATAAGAATGGATGGTTTTAAGTATGATTTTGTAAATCTGCGCAGTTTCTTGTCCCTATTAGGTGGATGATGTAGTACAGAAACTTTTGAAGCTTCAACATTGCCAGGAAACTGCAGGGGAAAAAAGGCTTGTACTTTGAACCGTTTGTCAATAGCATACCTCGATCTATTGGTACATCTTGAAGTGGATTAACGGAGTTTTTAATGCTATTTACTATATCTCTATAAATCGATTTTGTTCCTACAAGGCTTTAGGTACATTTGGTGAGTTAATGGAGGTATCTTCTATAATGTTAGTTATGAGTTGACGATACTTGTTACTTTCAACTGCGCTCTCACACCATCATCAAAACGTGGTGTTAGAAGAAAACATGTGGTAATAGCGTCTCTATTTTTCCTTGCTCCTATGGATCTTAAAATTTTTCATCTTCTTCTGGTCATGGATCTGATCTTTGATAGGTTTGCCAATACATGAATAGAGGGATTTGCTTCTTTTACCATCTTTTTCTGGTCATGGATCTTGCTAATCCTTGTGTGTAATTTTCCTGTTTCTTTTGTGACTCTGATATGCCGAATATTCCATGTGAAACTCACACGTTCTCCTTCAGGTGGATCTCTATTATACTCAGGAATTTGTGTTAATGCATTAGTAAACGAATCAGTTTATTGGAAAACTAATGAATGATTTGAAATTATTATATCTTTTTCTGGTCATGGATCTTGCTAATCCTTGTGTGTAATTTTCCTGTTTCTTTTGTGACTCTGATATGCCGAATATTCCATGTGAAACTCACACGTTCTCCTTCAGGTGGATCTCTATTATACTCAGGAATTTGTGTTAATGCATTAGTAAACGAATCAGTTTATTGGAAAACTAATGAATGATTTGAAATTATTATGATGTCGTAGTTTTTGAACATACATTTGAATATGCTTCATTATTTACTTCAGTCTATATGATGTTTCTTTTTAGTATCACTTTTATCCATTCGTATTATAATTGATCTCTAGTAGATGCTGGTTTTGGTCTGTGTAGGGTGTTTTGACAATTTACTGCAAAGATGATGTTCTTTGTTACGAGTAAGGCCTTAACAAGAAAAACGAAGATGG